ACAGTTGGCTGGGCTCTGTCATGGAGCACGGGCATGTTGCTGACTCCATTTTCAGCCTTCCCTGGCACTTGTTTGTTCTGGGCAAGAGGGAGACCTAGGGCTCAGACCTGTCTGTATCTGGAATGTGCCAGGTTTCCTGCATTTTTGCCTTCACATTTGTATTTACTCACTGCCCACATAAGGCCCCACAAGTCTTCAGGCCTTCTTATCAACATCCTTCTCACTATAGTAAAGTAGTCCCACCAAGGGCATGGTAGGAGGTGTATTCTGGGACTTGGGTCAGTAGGATTACATCTTCAACCACATGTTATTCCAAACCATCTTGTTCAGTGTCCAATCAGCAATACTCAATCCTGACAAAGAATAACTGAAAATAACTTGATGAGAAAACCTGACCACAGGATGTATGAAACAACATGGAGTCCACTGGACACAAGGGGTATGAATGTCTGGATGGGTAAAGCAAAATGGTCAAGAAACAGTGTTTAACCCAGTGCTTATTTTCTGTTCGTGCTTTTCCGGAATGATGTGCACCCATCCTCCCATAAAAAGACAAGAAGGTTGGGAATGGAGGACTTGCTAGAGCCCTCGGCAGATTTTTTAACTAGAACAAGCTGGGCCTTGCAGAATGGTAGCACTGGGTACCAACTAACCAGGCAAGCACATTCCTGAGCGATGAGGACAGTAAACACACCAATCTCTGCAGTAACTGCAAATATATGTTCCTAAGAGATGGCAGAAGAGCACACAGATCCCCATGTAAATCAGGGGAGAATGAGGGGATAAGGATGTTTTGTTCCAGTGAGCAAGTACAAGGATAATGGGGGGGGAGAGGGGAGCAACATGTGAAGCACAATATTCACCTTGTTTGTGTCAATGTATGAAAGGGGAATTCACAGAAGGGGCATGTTCGTGCTGGCTGAGGGGCGCAGCATTCTGATTGCTGACTTAGTCAGTACCATTGTTGGGGTAGGACACATCTCACTGTACCTGTGCCCGAGGAGCTGGGACACAGCACTTGACTCATTTAACAATAAACCTGGCTGAGCACCTTAGCCCACAAATGGATCCTGTGTCCTTCTATAGCAACAAGTGCAGCTGGCATCAGAGCTCTGGAAAGAGCCACACTGAGCATCTGTAACGATGCTCTGTGGAGCCACAGCCGCTATGGGATGTGCAGATTATCAGTCACAGCCGCACCTGGGATCCCCAGTGTAAACCAAGACCCCACTGTGCTACCAGGGTATTTATATGGAGCTGAGCATCTCCCCTATTTAATGTATTTATCCCTCCCCAGCCCTGTAAAACAGGGACTTACTATAAACAGCTATTGCAGAGTCAGAGGACTGGGGCATGTGCAGTGTAAGTGACTTGACCAAGGTCACATGGGAAGTCTGTGGCATATCAGGGAATTGAACACAAGTCTCTAACACCAACTGCAGTGCCTGAAATGCAAAATGAATTTACTTCATGTTTATCTACTACAGAGCTACTCCCTGCAGAATGCTTGTGGAACACAAACTGCCTCCCTTAGCCCAGCATACAGCCCCTCTCACTTGCAGGAACGAGCATGTCAGAGATCAGCCACAGGCAAGTAAGGACTCTGGGAACTGCCCTCTCCATCCAGGGGCTCAGCACATTGGCACGAGGAGTACCCTGCAGGCACTAACAGCAGCTGCACCCAGACCCACAACTCTGGACCCTGACATCCTGCCTGGGCCCTTCCACTGACACCCCCGGCCAAGGCACCACATGGGCAAGATAGTGGGGAAGTACATTGAGACTTAGCTGTGGGAAGAGCAGCACCACTGTTATGTCCCTGAACCTGCTCCCCATGCGAGGGATTGTGGAGGGGACAGTCTCTCACACATGAGCCAGGATTATTGGGGCTGATACTCCTGCCATTGGGAAGCAGGGGGCAATGAGGGACCCTGAAACAAATCCAATCCAGCTGCCTTAGAGCCCACCCAGCTTCTGACACCCAAGAGGACAGGAATCCTTACCCAGCCAGTTCACAGCCTCATAATTCTCCTGCATCACATCCCAGTAGAGAGCTCTCTGACCCGCGTCCAGCAGAGCCCATTCCTCCTCAGAGAAATACACAGCCACCTCCTCGAAGGTCACCGGCTCTGCCACAGCCATTTTCTTTCCCTGGCTCTGCAGGCCATGGGCCGCACTGGAGCAAGACATGGGTGTTCTGCAGCCTGGAAAGGGGAAAAGGGCAATTGGAGACATTTCAGAAAGGGACATTTCAGAAATTGGAGACATTTCAGAAATTCTTTCCACACCCCCATTCTTCACAGAATCTGTCCCTGGTGACACACATGCCAGACTCTGCCATTGTGGGAAAATGCTTGAGTCTAGATATTCAATAAACAATGCACACAAGTTAGATCCCAAATCCATATTCATTTATGTCAATGAAATGAGTTTCAACATAACTGCACCTGAAACAATGGGACTCAATTCTAAGTGTTTCTGATTTTAAAAAAGCCACAGATTCACCTGCCTGAATATGAATTCATGTATCTAAATTTAGGCTCCTATATTTAAAGCCCTTAATCTTCTTCCATTTGTTTGTAGCACAAGCCTAGGCCCTCATCAGGACTCAATAGACTGAGATACTTTATAAAACCTCTCAAGAACAGATTTAGTGAAGTCAAGGTGACCATTCAAATATTTTAAATTAAACACACCTGCTGAAAATTTATAGGATAAGATCCTAAGTTTCACAGGATGGGGTGGGGAATCATTAGATGACACTCTGGTTTCATGTGTGTCACAAGCCATTATATGTAATCCCATTACCCCAACACAAATGTTTATTCCCCCAGAGAATATTTTCTAGAAAGTCATCAAGTTTTGCTTTGAAGACATCAGTAGATGGAGAATTCACCAGTTCTTCAGTTATTTGATTCGGAGGCTAATCATTTTCGATTATGCAAATGAAACATGGGATATTTAAATCCCCACTTCATTTGCAATTTCAAAGTGTCTAATTTACATCCATCTGTCGAAAGAGGGATATAGTCTAGACACAGCTATACAGTGGAAGCTTTCACCCTTTCACCCTATTTTTTAAGCAACAATATATTTAAACTGAGCAGAGTGACCATTGAAATCTGTCAGATTTAAGGTGCTGTAACTTGCGAGCTTTGACGTCATAACTTTAATGTCATGTCATGGAAACAAACCCTTCATAAAGTAATGGAATAATGGGAAATGGGGGTAAAAATCCTACGTTAATTCCTTTAGTTTGAAATGTTTTAATTGCTATTCCATCACATTGTAAAAATGAGGTATGTACATGCCAATGAGACAATCAGATGCAAATGCCAGTTACAGCAAAATAGTACTGCTAACTTCAAAATCGGTATCATACTGCTAATAATAATGTTTAACTTCACATCTGAATCAGTGTTATAGTATTGAACTTGTAAACAAACCAGTTCAGATATCTCCCTTTCTAATCAGATGATGAAATTATGATACAATTATTTTGTAGAAGGATGGCTACTTTTAAATCCATTATTGAACATCCTGGGAGTAATGCACACAAACCCACTAGACTAGGGAATGTTTTAACATCCCTGGACATTCAATAATAGATTTTAAAGTAGCCAACCTTCTACAATCCCCACATAGGATACATTTACAAACTCCTTTTAAGCAGACACAGAAACCCATCAGGGAGTCTTTTAGACCCCAAGAGCAGGTCTGGCCATTACAGGGTTTGGAAGGGGCTTTATCTAAAATATTTCATGGCATCAAGTCCAATTTAACAGGCGAATCCATCTTATCAGGCAAGGAAAAGCTGTCTTGTCTAGTCCCTGGGTAAGATTGTGCCATTCAGATCACAGCCCTGGGAAGCAGGCCCTGAAATGCCCCATCCAGGAAATGGGAAACTCACCATATCTGCCCCCATACCTCATTTTTACCAGCAATGTAGAGGGCTCCCTGTCCCCATCACCTCTGCCCCTCTGTTCCTGGGGTTTTCCCTCTGCTACTAGCTATAGGCCCAGATCCTGTTCTAACCTTCCCCCCACCTGTACTGATTTTGCACCTTGCCCCCTCTCCTGTCCCTGCAGCCAGATGTGTGATCCACTCCTACAGTCAGTTTTCCCCTTGCACAGATTTGCCCCATCCCCACCCATGGTGGTTGCTCAGCTGCTCCTGGGGCAGGGCCACATGGCAGATGGCTGCCCCATGTCTTGGAGCAGTGGTACAGTGGTACAGCTGTCCCACTAGGACCGCGGTCACAAACAGGTCGATGGCATCCTGTCCGCCCCGCCCCGCCCCCATTTCCCTCCCACCCCCGAGAAGCCCCACTACCTACCTCAAGTGAAAATGGAGGTAGTGTCAGCTTCCCGGGGATAGACAGAAGTCCTGCAGCTTAGCGCCATTTCCGGCGATTCCAAAAGTGCGCTAGCTGCTCTGCTGGATGTACTGTGGGAGGGGGCATCG